AATATACATGAACAAGATAAATTATTTTACGAAAATATATTTTCAATTTTATGTCGACACGTAATTGAAACTCGAAGATTGGAACAAATATTAGCGAGCAAACTTGTGCAATGTTTTTGACTTGGCATATACTCCAAATTCACCCATGCCATCCTCTTACCTTACCTTCACTCTATTGCTACCCCTAAGAGCATAAAAAATTAAATTAATATCAAAATATTGATTTTTTAATGATAAATCAAATGTTTGGACACTTCGAAAAATACAAAAGTGAAATTGTTCTTAAGCATATAAAGTCACGAGGAACATGTAACAAAAAGTACATATATATATCGTTCACATGCTTGTTTACTCATTTTTATAAAGAGCAAGTTAGGTTTTCCAGAAACAGGTTAATACCTCATTCTTATAAGTCATTAAAAGGATCTTGACTCCAAGCTTATGCAACCCACGTGTGGAGTATAACATTCGATACTTGTAGTCGAACGCGTAAGTATGAACGAATACAGATCCCAAACAATAATTCGCACACAAATAACATTTTCAATCTTCAATTCTTATAAATGTTAATCAAATTTCGATCAACCCTAGAAGAGCTGACAATAAGCGTTTAAGGGTCATTTATCAAGATTTTTGAAAAGTCAAAAACTGATTGCGAGATTAAGAAGTTACTTTTAAACTTGTCCGAGACAGCTTAATCGAGGCAGTATAAAAAGCTAAAGCAAAAGCAGAAATTCTGTAAAATGAGCCTTAAATACTACACGAAATAATAAAACCCTATATAAGGCCATTGACCAATATGCCCAAAAACTAACAAAATAAAATAATTTAATTAGTTTATTAATGCTGCAAGAAAATGCCTAAGGATAGAAAAAGATCAATTGCTTGGAAGAGATGTTATATATTTCTTAAGGTGCTAAACATGATTTTTTTTAAAGTGTTTTTTTTCACTAACTTATCTTGTGTTATGAAAGTATAACTTATTCTTTACAAAAGTAACTTTTAATTTAAGTAGAACCACAAACATGCTTTGAGTGGATGAATACTTGAGAATAGTTTCATGAAATTTACTTTTTTTCAAAAAAAAAAATTGTTTTTACATTAATATCTATAATCATTTTACCACAAAATTTCTTAATAAAACGGGATTATATCATTCGACTGGATGAAAGCTTGATAAAGTATTTGTTTTCACGTTGACTGAGCGGGCCCACAAAAGAGGCAAAAAGTTGATATAGATGTACGATATTTTGAAACAATTAATTAAAATAATTTAGTATGAATTTAAAATTGATCAAATTTTATGAAATCAAGCCGTGTTTTCAAAATAAATTTGTTTTCCTTAATATTTCATTTATTTTAACCCTAATAAAAGAAATAATTATTACCTCACATGAGAGTAAGAAAAAAGTAACTTATTCAAATACATCTCATAAACAAAGAAGAATGATCTAATGAGAAACTATGTTCATCTTATGCTAAGTATCGATGACATCACATCAATTCATTGGTGGATAGCAAATTAAATTCAATTATTGAGACCCCCCATATAATTATTCATCAATGAATTGATATGACAAGTCATCGATGCTTAGTATAAAATGAGCACTGGTGCTCATTAGAAGCATGGTACTCATTAGATCATTCATCTATAAACACAACCAATTAGGTTGGGTTTCGTTGGCATGTGTTAACAATTGAGGTTCCATCTTAAAATGTTAACATTGTTAAGAGGAGTAGTCCAAAATCTTTATTAATTGCTCTGTGTCAACATCATTTATCGATGTGGGATATATATCCCTTAACACGTCCCTGGAAAATGGTGGCTCATTTGAGCAGACCAATCTTGAAATTCATGTGCTCATTTTAGAATTTTAACGAGATTGAATCGCTCGTTGGAGCATAATGAGCTTTGATACCATGTTAAGAGGAGTAGTACAACATCTTTATTAATTGGTCTGTGTCAACATTATTCATCGATGTGAGATATATATTCCTTAACAAAAAAAATTTTCTAGAAAAGAAAATGTTTTCTTTGTTTGGAGGAAAACAAAAATCTATCTCCTCCCAAAAAATGTTTTTCTCGAAAATTATGCATATTTTCAAAAGTTGAAAAAAAAAATTATGTAAAAAACGACACTCAAAACACTCTAAAAGTTGGAAGTTAGATATTTTGAACCAATTAATTAAAATAATTTAATAAAAGACATAATTATTACCTCACATAAGAGTTAGAAAAAAAGTAACTTATTCAAATACATCTCATAAACAAAGAGGAATGGTCTAATGAGAAACGTTGATCATCTTATGCTAAGCATCGATTACATCATATCAATCCATTGGTGGATAGCAAATTAAATTCAAATATTGAGACCAACCATATAATTATCCATCGAATAATTCTCCTTGTACAACACTTGGTTACAATATTGGATGACAATCTCTCACAGGGGGGTGGGGTCCGGGATTAAAATAATCGAGGGCCCCACCCCATTGTAAGAGATTGTCATCCAATGTTGTAACCAAGTGTTGTACATGTAGCATTCTCATTATCCATCAATGAATTGATACGATAAGTCATCGATGCTTAGTATAAAATGAGCACTGGTGCTCATTAAATCATTCATCTATAAACACAATCAATTAGGCTGCGTTTGATTGTCATGGAAATTTTTTTCTAGAAAAGAAAATATTTTCTTTGTTTTGATGAAAACAAAAATCTCTCTCCTCAAAAAATGTTTTTCTCAAAAATAAGGAAAAATATGCATATTTTCAAAAGTTGAAAAATATTTTTTTATGTAGAAAAGGACAATCAAACACTCTAAAAGTTGGAATTCAAATTAAAAAAAAAGTCATTTTTCATGAAAAAAAACTCAAATCAAACACACCCTTAATTTCGTGGGGTGATTAGAATATTATAGGCTAATTAGTGTGAACCTGTGAAAATTTAAACATGGATTACATCATAGGATTCTGTGGTTGAACACCGTGTGGATATTAATGCAACACATTAATATTCAATACTATAAATATGGATTACAAGATTTGATACCAAGTGGGACCCTCGTCCTTAATTAAACCAGCAGTTGAACCCCACTTATTCCATGGAGATTTTTGTGACATTAACTGTATAAATTGTTTTAGGTCATGTTTGGTAAGGGTTTTAAAAAGTCAAAAATTAGTTTTGAGATTAAGAAGTTACTTTTGAATTTGTGTGGATAACTTTTGATGTGATGGATAACGATCATATTTTTCAAATTAATGAGATAAAAAAGTGGTCCAAACGGGGGCATAATCACATTAATATGCGAAGAAATAAAGAAAACTTAAAGAATGAGAATGAAAAATATAGCCGTTATTGAGCCCACACAAGAGAAAAAGAAAATTTAAATGTTGATGTGATGGATAACGATCATATTTTTCATTTTTATGGATGAAAATTGAGAAACAAACGGGGGACTTTTATTCGGACACTTTCAAAAAATTATTAAAATAAATTCAAAAGCAACTTCTTATTGACAGTATAATTTTGACTAGGGTTTTTCCACTTCAGAGACTATTTCGTAAGCTCTCCCATTATTAGTGCTTTTGATTAAGACATATTAGACCTCTATTTCCTTCAATAATTGTAACTAGGAGCAGAGAAAATTGTTGTGTAAAATAATTATTTCATTGTTCAAAGTTAAAAATAAGTAACTTAAATGTACAAATTAAGAGAAAATTGTTCTCTTTTTTGTGATTCTCTTCAAATACATCATGTATTAATTCAGTAATTAAGAAATAATTCCAAGATTTCTTAAGCCAAACAAATAAAAATGCAGTAGGTTAAAGCCCTTTATGTTATTTTACCTAAATGACTAAAGTCTCAGTTCAGTGATTTTCTTTTATTTCATCCTTTTAAGTAGCTATAAAGTGGTGTAAAATATTTCTTTCAAATGTCACACTTTTGATATGACATTGGTAACCCTTAATTGAAAGACAATTTTTTTTTTTTTGCTAAAATTTATACGTTGACTATTACTTTACCGTAATCATAATTTATTCGGTGTTTAATGTAGATTAAAATTAGATTTTTAGTAGATTGTGATAGAAATTTTTGAAATGTGTGGTTGAAAAGCTGTGAAACTCATGAAAGATGTGGTTAATATTGATTGTTTGACTTAGATTTAGATTAAAATCTGATTTTAATCAGAAACAAACGGGGCCTTAATCTCGACTTTAACCACAAAAATAGAGTGATAAAAAGAAATTGTCTATAATTAACAAGGGTGTCGATGTGATTTTTTTGCATTTCAAAAGCTTGTGACATTTGAAGCAATATTTTATCCTACTCCAAACTTAAATCTTCGTTTTATCAATTTGAATATTGCTTTATGGGACCCCCACACATTGTCTCACACGTGTCGCCTTCACATGGCTTTACAAAACACCATGAACAAGTAAGTTAATACTGATTATGCTGATCAACCCTAGAACATGTTTGGCTAATCTTAAAAGTAGGTCAAATTTTATCAAGCAAATTTTTAGTTTCAAACATGATTTGATTGCGTTTCATATTGCATAATTATAAGTAAAAAATAGTTACTTATTTTAATTTAAGATATTAGCATGTTTGGCTAAGCTTATAAGTTGCTAATTCTTACCTTTTTTAATGCAAGCATGCATTTACTGCCAAAATTTATCTAAACTTGTAACTTTTGTTGGTCTTGTTTAGGTAGCCAGTGTGCTTGCTGGCAATAAGAACAGAAAAGCAAGAATAAGCTACTTATAAGCTTAACCAAATATGCACTTATTTCACAATCGTATAAGTCAAAATTTCAAGATTAGCCAAACATGATCTATTACGTGTCACAATACAATTGGTCAATGAGCTTTATTTAATTACATGTGATTAATGAATGTGCCATGATGTATACAATGGACCGTATACCATATAAACATGGGCTAGCTGGCCAACGTTTCAGCTACGTACATATATAGAGAGAGTGAAAGAAAGAGAGATGAATAAATCGATGGAGAGCACAGATTCATCCACCGGAGGTTCACAGCAGCCCCACCTGCCACCAGGGTTCCGCTTCCACCCCACGGATGAGGAACTGGTGGTGCACTATCTCAAGAAGAAGGCCGCCGCCGCCCCTCTGCCTGTGTCCATTATAGCTGAAATTGATCTATACAAATTTGATCCATGGGAGCTCCCAGGTAACACATAGTGCATGTATTGTATGAAACAAGATTTTAGTTTCTTCTTCTTCGATTCAAAATTTTCGTTCTTGTTTTTTCAGCTAAGGCGACGTTTGGAGAGCAAGAGTGGTACTTTTTCAGTCCGAGGGACAGGAAGTACCCTAACGGGGCTCGGCCGAATAGGGCTGCGACTTCTGGATATTGGAAGGCCACCGGAACTGATAAGCCGATCTTGAGTGCCGGAGGGACTCAAAGAGTAGGGGTTAAAAAGGCATTAGTTTTCTATGGAGGGAAGCCTCCTAAAGGGATCAAAACTAATTGGATCATGCATGAATATAGACTCCCCGACAATAAACTGAACACAAAGCCTCCTGGGTGTGATTTTGTTGGCAGCAAAAAGGGCTCTTTAAGGGTTAAATAACTAACCCTTTAAACTTTTTTTTTTCCCATTAGTTTAGAATAAAGATTATTAGTTTTTAAGGTTTTTTTTGTTGAAAAATATGTTGATATTTGGTTCTTGACGCTTGATTTTCAGCTTGATGATTGGGTTTTATGCCGGATTTACAAGAAGAATAATTCTCAAATGCCTATAGATCAAGAAATAGGGGATGATCTGATAGGATCATTGGCTATTGGCCAACAGAAGCTGCAGCATCAGCAGGGACTCAAGCTCTCAAACTATGGCGGATTACTTGAAAATAATGAACACAACATGTTTTCTGGAATGATTAACGCTGCAAATGATGGAATCAACACTAGCCAAATTTCTCTATCAGCCTCAAAACCACTTCTTCCAATGGAACTCACACCAGCATCGAGTACTTGTACTCTCCCAGCTAAGAGGACGATTTCGAATCAGTACTGGAACGACGAAGAAGTAGATGCGAATTCTCGTCTGAACAAGAAATTTCTTGCAGAAAATTGTGATGGAACCAATTCTATTGCCACCATCTTAAGCCAAAACCCTTCACAGCCAATGTTGGGATCTCTTGGTGATGGCATTTTTCGCCAGCCGTACAATGTTACAGGCATGAATTGGTACGCCTAGACCAAGAATCAAAGTCGATTTGCTTTATAAAAAATAAACGGGATTCAACCAATTGTCAGATTCAGAGGACCTACAGTTTTCTTGGGCAATTTTTAGGTGAGGCCGTTTATATTACCAGTCATTTTTAATATATGTAATTGATACTTTATATCTTTGATTACTAGAGTGAAATATTATTGTGTAGAATTTGTAGAATCTAAAATAAAAACTTTGCTCATCTCATCAATTTATCATAACTTAAACATTGCATTATTTTTTTATTTTTTAGTTTAGATTGTAAACTACTCGAGTTTTGGCTGAAAGTCCCAAGAGAATGTTGTTTTGATAAGAAAAAATATATATTAATTCCCAAATGGCATCTTAATAATACAAATGATTTTCATTAACTTGAGACGTGTTTAATACGGTAAATTGTACATCAGAACAACTATACATTGTGTTCTGTTTAATCAACCATGCCAGGCAACGACAAGAAAGTTGAACGACCTTGAAAAATCAAGAAAATAGTGAATAATGATTTTGCTACTTGTATATCAAAATTGTATATAAAGGGTTACATATTATGATGTGAAGGGAAAAGTTGATTGTGTTTTAAATCGATAAATGGTAGAGTGTGTATGTGTAACAAGATCCAAGTGAATAATTGGCTGAGTATGGGCACCATCGAGTTATCAATTACTATTACCCGATATACATGTTGAGTTACACTTCCATTGAGAAAGCAAACTCAAATGAGTCTTTGTGCATGTATATATTCACATGCCATCTTTTTCTTGATGATGAAAGACAAACCGGACATAGTTAAAACAACTTTAGATTTCTAGCAAATGCATCCTAGGATTTAGAAAAACTTAATTAAATTCAAGGATTTATTAAATATATTGTTTTGTCCTAATGCCAGCTTTTAATCCCATCATATTCTATATTTTCTTGATTTAATCTACAACATTTTTCGATATCAATTTCTTGTTGTGGTGTCTTTTTCTTTCATATATGGGTTGATATGACGTAGTCGAGTATATTCTACCATGACTAGGTCTTGCATTTTGGCATCGTTTTCTCTCTTTTGATGGCATTTTGGACCGTCGAAAAGGATTATTATCGTTAATTGCATTCTTTTTTAAGGAAAGAGTTAAACAACTTTAATATTATATTGACTTCATGATTCTTAATATGGAAATTGATAATGCAATGATGGAGATGCACTAGATAAATATCTAATGATGCTTTTACAAGCCTAAGATATTCTTGATTATTATTCTTTAATCAAAGAGATGGAATTCAGTTCAAATGTAGATATATATTTAGAAATTTTCGCAACTAATCAAACTAATCAATTGAATCGAATGACTTAATAGTATCGATGAAAAGTGAATTCATGTAATGGAAGAAAGATGAAAGTCATTTTCCATTGTATACGAGCATTTTGCAACGAGAAGAGTTAAAAGCCTATATTTCATCCATTTTTATCAAAATCTACTAAAATTCTTATTTTAGTCGCATCAAATAGGGGCTAAACGTTAATTATGTACTTGCTCTTAATTTTTTGTGAGCCTCGTAATGAAAGGTCATGAATTCCACTATGTCTATGTCTAGTAAAGATTAAAATTTAGATTTTTAATCAATGTCAAAGTCAATAATTAATTTTAATCACATATTTTATTAGATCAACAACTTCTTAACCACACATTTAATTAACTGTTATCAAAATTTACTAAAAATATGATTTTAATACCCACCAAATAGGGGCTATGACAATGTTATGAATATTAATTCATGCATACCAAATACAAAAAATAAAAAAAATTAAGCTCATGTTCGATGTTGATTTTAATCTTGATAAAAATTTAAATCATAGTCAATAATTAATTGTAATCATACATATGATAGGATCCACAACTTTTCAATGACGTTTTATCAACTTTTATCAAAATCTACTAAAACTCTAATTTTTAACTGTGCATATTATTTTATGCAATTAGAATTTTGGGCTTATAGCTCATGCATGCATGCAAATGCGTGCGTTTTTGGACGTATCGTGATAGGAAGCATAAAATTCGAAAATCTCAGACTAACTAATAATCTTTACATAGTTTGGAGGCACAATGTTGAAAATTAAATGTGATGACCATTCTCAACTTCTTATTTGCAGATTTCTTGGAGGTTGTCGACTCGAAAAGTTGTGTGATGATCACCATCGATCGATATGAATTCAACAACTCCCGCCATTACTTGAAACTATGTTAGGATGGGCTCGAGAAAACCCTTTTTGAATGTCATGAAAATTTCGGCGTAAAAATAATTTTGTCTAATGGGTTCTTTCTTTACTAAATACTTTATTTCAATACACTTAGAATCGATCGATTAAGTATTTTTCACAACTCTGTTCCTTTCTTGAGCTCGTCGTTTACAACGTGGGTTTATATGAGAATGTCTATGACTGAGCTTTTTGGCAAATTTTAATCATTTTTTCACCCGTTAATCATTCACTCAGCCCACAACATTTGACTTCTCATCTCACATGCGGGTCCCACGATTAGAAATAAACGGTAAAAAAATCAATTAAAAGAGCCAAAAAAAGTTGAGCCAGACACACCCTGAGCATAGTCCGGACCACCTAAAAACACATTAATTGATCATTCCATTAAATGTATATAAAGCGTGTTCGACAAGGCTTTTCAAATGTCTAAGACTAAAAAACTATTTTTGAGCATGTTAAAAATAATTTTCCGAAGAGTATTTTGCCCCCGTTTGGCCCCCATTATTCCAAATTAAAATGAGAAGAATAGTAATCTGTTGGAGCATGTGTGGTTTAAAAAAAAAGGAAATATTTTCAATGATGGAGATGCACTAGATAAAATATCTAATGATGCTTTTACAAGCCTAAGATATTCTTGATTATTATTCTTTAATCAAAGAGATGGAATTCAGTTCAAATGTAGATATATATTTAGAAATTTTCGCAACTAATCAATTGAATCGAATGACTAGTATCGATGAAAAGTGAATTCATGTAATGGAAGAAAGATGAAAGTGATTTTCCATTGTATACGATCATTTCGGAACGAGAAGAGTTAAGCCTCTATTTCATCCATTTTTATCAAAATCTACTAAAATTCTTATTTTAGTCACATCAAATAGGGGCTAAGCGTTAATTATGTACTTGCTCTTAATTTTTTGTGAGCCTCGTAATGAAAGGTCATGAATTCCCCTGTCTATATATGTCTGGTAAAGATTAAAATTTAGATTTTTAATCAATGTCAAAGTCAATAATTAATTTTAATCACATATTTTGTTAGATCCACAACTTTTTAACCACACATTTCATTAACTGTTATCAAAATTTACTAAAAATATGATTTTAATACCCACCAAATAGGGGCTATGACAATGTTATGAATATTAATTCATGCAAAAAAAAAATATTAAGCCCATGTTTGATGTTGATTTTAATCTTGATAAAAATTTAAATCATAGTCAATAATTAATTGTAATCATACATATGATAGGATCCACAACTTTTCAATGGCGTTTCATCAACTTTTATCAAAATCTACTAAAACTCTAATTTTTAACTATGCATATTATTTTATGCAATTAGAATTTTGGGCTTATAGCTCATGCATGCATGCAAATGCGTGCGTTTTTGGACGTATCGTGATAGGAAGCATAAAATTTGAAAATCTCAAGACTAACTAATAATCTTTATATAAAGCGTGTTCGACAAGGCTTTTCAAATGTCCTAGACTAAAAAACTATTTTTGAGCATGTTAAAAAACGGATCCATAATTTATTTCGCTTTGCAGAGTACCCACTTTCGACCGTACGTAATTGCTTTTGAATTTCAAATTTCTTCCTTTTACGGTAATGAATATTAGGCGCCTTTTAGAAATGATATCATATCCATAATGGATAGTAGTTGCAACGTCAGTGGTCAAGCCTACAATTTTTGACAATTCTTTGTAGACTTGACCATCGAAGTGACGAGAGCAAGATAACTCTTATCCACCATGGGCAAGAGATCATTTCGGCCTGCACCTTGTACAAAAAATAGTAAGTTCAAGAAAACATCCAAGAAATTACAGTGCCCGATTATCTAGCCAGTTTTTCAATGACTTCAAGCCCCCAATCCATGTGGGCTTGTCTGGAAGCCAAACTATTGTTCCTCCAAGCTCCATCAGCAATGGAGTGCATGCACGTTTGACAAATTGAAGTCTATTATTTTCCTATTTGTTATATTTGGTAAGGTGTGGTAAGGCCGACTGGACAACTAAGTTTCGAACTTCACAAGAAAAACGAGCTAAATTTTTTAACATGCCTCCCCTTTGTATTCTTCCATCTATCTACCAGTGGGTACCTTGTGACCAGAGAAAAAGAAAGAACGAGAAATGGAAAGTGGAAATTCTTATATAACAATATCGACACTGTATATTGTAGGCATGACTAGTTAAACTATATTTTCCAAATAAAAATTAATGCGCACATACAGATACGTAAAAGATCTACACAACGTACATACAGAATTTACACTCGATCGGTCCCCGCAGCCTTATTACCTTCGTATAGATGGCTTCAATTATCTCCGTGCAAATCGAGGCTAGGATAACTATTTCTCGTCACTTCATCTGGTCTCAGGTGGTCTAATCCGTCAAACCTTAACAGAGAAAACAAGGGAAAAGAGGCATCAGGTCAGAATTATATGTTATAGCAGTCGAAAGACGCATCACACATGTATCATTAACTAAACATTTGGCATACCTCAGGTGTACGTTTTGACGATGCATCAACATTAGCTTCAGCAGGTAAATCAGAGATGCGGGCTTCTGATTTCTCGTTTGAATAACTGCCAAATAGAATTTCAAAAGAAATTAGAATTCTCGTTCCATCAGAGTATAGTTCAAGACAGATAATCATCATGTCAAACTACCACATTGGGTTGCTGCAAGTCACCAGATCCCTGATTGTCCCCACAAAGAGAAAAGCTAATGCTGAAGTGTGTG